AAAAATTTGGAGCGCTTAATTATTTTTAAATATAAATACGAATAATATTGCAAAGATTAGGTCCAATTTACTTTTGACCATACGCCAGTACAATAATTTTTGGAAACTAACGTCTTGAAATTTATTTAAGTGAAATGCACGCTAGTTACATTCTTAATTGCACACAGCATATTAATGTAAAATTTTTTTAAACCAATTTTTTGCATTAAAAATTTAATATTTCTTTTTAAAGCTTTCGGTTATTTGTTTCATAATTATTAGCCGAAGTTCATCCAAGAGAATCGTATCTTCTAATCATAATACTTTGTTATTTTAAATTATGTAATTCAAATACCCCATCAAGATACAAGAAATATTTATAATACATTACCTTTAATTTGAGTTAGGGATAAAGGATAATTGCATTTGGTTTTCATCTCTCATTGGTCTTATTGTAAATAATAAGATTTAATAAAACAAAAATAAAGTACAATAAAGGAAAAAAATAAAATTTTAATAACCTTCGAGTTGGAATTAAAAAATTGGTTGCTGGTTTGCCTTTGTCCCTGTTTAGTTTTGTAAAATTAAAAAAAGCTTAGTATTTAAAATATGCCTTTATAATAGTAAAATAATTTATTATAATACTTACGTCTTGCAAATTTAAAAACATTGTATGTCGATTATGGTCTTTCCAAGTACGTGGATTAGTTATTCTTCTTTTATATGATTTAATGTCCATCACTAAATTTTGTACGCCTTTAAAACTTCCTTGAACCGATTGCGCCTATTGAACATTATTGGAATTTTCTTGTTTCTGTACAATTTCAAGTGCATTACGAAGTAATGATTTATATTCTTCGAATATTTGTGATGATTCAGTATTGTCATCATCATTTGAATTAATATCAGTTATATTATCGACTATATATAAAATAAATAAAAATATAAGTTCATATTTATTAAATTGAAAAATACTTGTTTCTTACCTGTATTTGATTGTATTAATTGTGTTGAAAATTGTTGTAATATATGTTGCGATTGTAAAAATACAAAAGAATAGACTCCTTGTTGCTGAATATTTTCAAAAAAAGACTTATTAATTGTAAATTGAGATGCTTGAATTAAATGTTTACAAAGAAAAAATCGATTAATTAAAAATCCTAAACATCTGCAAATCCACTTTTCTGTATCAATTACGTAATTATAATTAATTTTTTTTTCTTTCAACATTATCCATTCTTTTTTGAAGTCCTTTCTCCAAGAAGGCATTTCTCACTTATAATAATATTTATTATATTGTTGCTTGTGATGTGGAATTAAGTGAGTAACTATAATATAAGTAAGGAAATCAAGACGTGGCCTAAAGAACTTAGGCAAAAAGTTCTGCTTGATTACTTTCCAGTGGGATTCACATAATATTGTGGTACAAAAAATACAAATCTTGTTACATCCGGATCATGTCTACAAATTCTAATTTTTTTTTTGATACCAATTTTCCCACAGATAGATTCACAAAAACTTTAAATTGTTGTGGATACAAAATTCATATATTTGTTTTGTCGATTGTTCCCAAATTTGATTTGCTGTTAAATAAAATCCATCAATATTTGGAATTAAAGAATGAAAGTGCATATGTTGTTCTATCATCTCTATAACTTTAGGATGCAATTCTTTAGGGCAAAAACAAAAGTTCTTTTTTTGTGCCTGAGTTACTTGTGATGGTAATGATGGATAAAATTCGATATCAATGAACTCAAATTTCTGATGCGCTAAGTATGAACTATAATTAATTTTTTTTGGATATGTATTGTCAGCAAGGCGTTTTTTAAGCGCTTTTTTCATGTGCCAAAAACAAATTTAAATTTTCGAATTTGGCCAAACTTTTAACGCTGCTGAAATCTGTGTGAAATCCTTATCAGTTAGGAAAAAATTAATATTATTTAATCCTAAATTAAATAAGGATTCAAAGAATAATGTTAAAATACTTGTATGAGTGCCATTATCTTTTTTAGTTCCTTCAATAAACAAATAAGCAAGCGCAAATCCAGATCCATCATATTGACCGACAACTGCATATAATTCATATTCTAGAACATTGGTCTTATATGTGGTATCTATGACGATCTCATAATTATTTTTTAATAAATCAAAAAATGGTGTTACAAAACCTAAATATTGAATATTTTGAGTGTTGAACAAAGTAATCTTGCATTTATTTTGTTCAACAAGTATTCTTGCAGAATTTAATTGATCATTCTCATCACAAATATACTTCTTTTTTAAAAAATAGAACCACCATGCGTGAACTTGTTTTTGAGTTAAGTTTGGATTTTGTTGTTCCAATTGCTTAAAAATATCTGCAGGTGCAAGATGAATATTCTTCTTTATTTCAGCTTTAATATCATCAGACGTATTAAACCGATCTGGATGCTTATAAAGTAAATTATATTGAAGATCAATTGTTGTTATGTTTGTTTCTATATTAAGTACTATTTTTAAAGTACCATTACAGGAAAATCATTCAATATATCCTCTATTACGCTGTTTATAGAAATTTTCATGCTTTCGTGGACGCTTAGCTAATGTGCAACTTTGAAAACAATTGTATGAAAACATATATTTATTATGATCTTTTTCAGACTTATAGACATTATGATAACTACAAATAAATAAATATTATCGTTATTACATACATATTATTATTTTATTATTATTATTGACATATATATATATTATTTATATATAATAGTATCCATCAGCAGATCCTACGATTTCGGCAATTTTTTTTCCAAGTTCATGGGGTTCACTTTTTAGTAAAACAGTTGATATTTTGCATGAAAAATCTATGCCAGAATTTTCATTTTCAACATATTTATTATTTCCAATCTTAAGAATATGTTCAAATAATTTTTTTTTTTCATTTCATTAGGTTTAATAGGACCTTGATCATAAGGCACATTTTCATTAGGTTTTGTAGCATAGTAGGTATTTAAATTTTTTTGCCGACATTCATAACATATTTTTGTAGGTTTTCCGGTTTTACTGATAAAAGCAGTTTGTTCAAAGCTTTTGGAACATCGATCACACTTGTGCATATTAAAAATTCACTCGTTATTTCGCAAAACAAGAATTTTTTTTTTTACTTCAACTAATATTTTTATTATATACTGGTGATAAGTAAAATGATTTAAATGTAACACAACAATTAAATGTTTCAGTATGTAATAATGATAATCGAACTTCGTAATTGCTACATAGTAAAATACTATTGGTCAGAATGTAGTACCGAAAATCACGATTAAGAATATAAAATTTGTACTACATTTCGGCCAATAGAATTTTGTGTTACCGAAAAAAATTGGTGGTGCTCTTGGAGTAGTTATTTCATACAAACTGACATGTGATAAATAGCCAATCAAACTGACTAAAAAATTGATTCCGATTCAACAGGAGAAACCGTCCAAATATAGATATGATTTTCATTCTCCGTTACACGGATCACTGATTGTATCGACCAGTCAAAAAATTAGTCAACCAATCAAATTGCGAATTTACAAAAAGACGAAACGAAACCATGGGATTCAAGGGGATTCAAAAAATATGTAGTAAAGCAAAGTGAGAGCTTCATGTTTGTTTAACTATTTTCAAAGTTCATAGAAAAGATAAGTCAAGCGAGCCTTCCAAAAAAGTATTGTAAAATAATATAAAAAAAATTTTCATCAATTGTGTAACGATTTTGTGACGTATCAACGGTTCTTCCTGTTTTCCGATTCGCGTTTTTTGAGTTGTAAATTTAAAGCAAGAATCAAATTATGATGACAATAAATAAATAATAGATATAATAAAAAGGTTTATTCAAGAATAATTGCCGTATTTTATCGTAAATTTAGTCGCAGCCGTTATCTGTTATTCATGATAGGATCGTCACTATCAGCTAAAATTTCATGATAAATTACTATCACGGGGATGCTTATTTATGATCGACAATTTGAGAGGGTGCTTATTTATGATATAAAGAATACATAATAGAATACATTACTTCGATCCTTTGCATCGTTAAAAAGCGTGATTAAAAGTCTATCTTATTGGCTGTTGATAATAATTTGAATTTTATTTACTACTGTATATCAAAAAAGCTTATATTGTAGTATTGCAAAACTAAGGTAATTTAAAAGATCTTTAATATACTTGTAATTAAGTTTTTTGATAATTATATTTATCCTTTAACGAGAGACTTTACCAGGCAAATTTGGCTGGAAAATTTATCCAATAATCGTATACATTTCTTCCGTTAAAGTGACGTTTTTTGTTTATGGATGTGTCGTTTAAAATGTCGGATAACGGAATATTATCCGACAGCAACTCGTGTTGACTTTTTTTATTGGGTCATTTCACCATGCTAAAAGGAAAATAAAGGCAAGGTGCTGATAGAAATAGTTAAAAGTGGTATTGACTAAAAGTAGTCTGTCCGGTAGAGTTGTGGCCCAATTTCTTTTTCTGAATTATGACATTACTACATAGTTTGGATTTGAGATTTCTACTTAATTTGGGTTTATATCCAAAATCCAAACATATGTCTCATTTCAATCAATAGGTGTCAAACTCAAAACTAATAGAATTTGCTAAAATGTTAATAAATAAACTATATAGTCTCACCTATACTGCAAGAGATCCGGATTATATTACTGTATAAACCAATGCATAAACAAATTTTAATATTGGAATTTATATTACCGTTAGCTTTGCTTTATTGATTGTATAATACTAATATAATCCATCTGGCCCTGTGGCGCATCATCCCGGTACACATTTTTTGGGTGCATCATATAGTCAACTCTATACGTACAGTATAACGATCGATGGTACTGGATATAGAAAATGTTCGCTATATAAAATTACTGTTTTCTTAAGAATCATAACTCTCATCATATCGAACTAATATAAAATCAAAAATTTTTTAGTTCGTTATAGCCAGAATTCGCCATAGAAAGGTTTATTATAAAGAGAGTTGGCTATGGCATGCATTTATAGAGGGTGAGTCACGACAAAGTGCACTTATAGAGGGTGCACTTATGGAGGGTTTACTATATGAGATAAGTCCCAATCTCAATTTTTACATGTAAAATTTGGGACTTTTAACCGTAATATAGCTTATATGCCGAAAGTGATTGAAATTACGGCAAACTAGAAGCATTTTCTGCAAGCCTAGTAACTTTGAGTTTGCTACCTACTCTCGGAATACATTATTATTTTGTACTATCAAAAGCAATTTTGATCAGAAATCTGCAAGTCTGCAAATCCGTTAAAGGGATATATATTAGCTATTTTTAACTATATATGTACTTAATATTTATCCTTTCTTGAGCATTAGATTTGCTAAGCAAAATTAGTACCATTAAATAATATCTGAAAAGATAGTTATTTTAATGTAAATATTGATAAACAAGTATCTTAAGCGAGAAAAATTTCTTCTTGCTTATATTATTTTTATCTGTTACCCCTTCTATCTTTTTATACCACCAACATAAAATTCTTTAAACAACATTAATCTTGCGCAAGTTTACTTAAAATATTTCTAAATTTACATTTAGAGGATTAAAAACAAAAAAAAAGGCAATATATAAGAAACTATTTATTTTGGCTTTTTTTTTGTATTTGGAATATTTCATATTCTGATGCTGAGAAGTAATATACATTTGTATTTATAATTGCTCTTTCATATGAACTATGAATATCATATTTACACCAACATTGTTTATTAAATTGATTAAAATTATCGCTCATGAAAATATCACCACCATAACCAAACTGAGGGCCACAGTCAGAATAGCAATAAATTGCATGAATTGGATTTTTTATACGACTTAAAATAGAGGATTGAATAGTACCATTTTTCAATGAAAAAATAAAGCTATCATTGCACTTTATCCAGCCAGATGATTTAACCCATTTCACAGGATTATACCCACCAAAAATTTCATTAGTACCATCAACCTTTATAATTAAAACAGTGTTTTCTTGCTTATCACATAAATTCCAAAATGATTCTTTGGTAAAACCATCTCTGGATCCACGAAGAAGTAATTTAAACTCATATGGATTGTTTGTTTCAGAATACGTTTCAGCTTTCTTATCAACCCATGATGCAATTTCTGCTGCGTGTATTTCGCTTATAATAGTTGAGAATGGCTCAGTTACTCTTGATGGTAATTTAGGAGTTAAAATCTTTCGAGGTGGGAGAATTATTGAAGATATTTGCCGATTTGGTGTAGCAATTTTTTTAAATACATCATCCCAGAGATTTTTTTCAAGAATTTTATGATATGGATATACAATATCAACAATATCATCATTAGACATTTGAAAATAGCGAATGAGAGGCAAACAATTTTTTAAAGTAGTTTTTAAAGCTAGAAAATTTTCACTAGTACAGCTTGTAGGATCAGATGGTAAGCCAGGGTTTTGAGCAATTCCCCATTCGATAACATAATTCCAAATTTTACTTTCTTCCATTTGTAAATCATCTCTTTCGATAATTGAGATTAATGCATTTTCAGGAAGCGAGGTGAAATCTTCTGACTCAAAAAGTTTATCTGGATACTTGGCCACAATATCATTGCACCATTTTTGTAATTCTTGAAGTTGATTATTTTGAAAGCTTATTTTGTAAACATGTGCGAAATGAAGACGAAGCCAACTGGATTTCATTTCAATTAAATGAGTCTCAAGGTATTTAACCAATTCTTCAAGAAGAAGCTCGCAAGCAACACTCATGAGCTCAAAAATAAATGACACATCTTTGTTTTCTATTAAAATCACACCTCCATAAATATATCTTTATTGAATTAATCAAGGATTAATTTCTCTATAGCATATTACAAAGAATAGTATAAAAAATATAATATGACTTACTTAATAATAATTTCGAAATGTTGAGTAGAAATATGGTTTAAATTAATCTTTTTAAGATTATTATTGTCTTTACTAGTTTTTGCTAATTCATTACGAAAATACAAAGACCTATATCTCAAAATATTTGAATGAGCTTGAAATTTCTTTGAAGATTCACCCGTACTTATAATAACATTAAAATCTTCTTTATCATCAAGAAGTTCAAGGTAATTATTTGAAAGTTTTTCGAAGAGTTTTGTTGCCATTTCAGATACAGGGACGGTGATTACTTCGATTAAGAATAAAAATGGAATTATTATAGCCAATCAAATCTGAAATAAATTTGAATTTTGAATTTTGATTGGACAAAAAAATTATTTGACCATAGCAAAATAATTTCTTGTTATCTGGCATGATGTGACGGATACATGGGTATTCGGCAGGATGATAGCAAAAGCACGTAGCCGAAGGCCACGTGCGTTGCTATCATCCTGCCGAATACCCATGTATCCATCACATCATGCCAGATAACTAGTTTAT